AGACAAAAAAAATACTCTGGCATAATTACAGGGGTGAACTCGAGTGTAGTGTAGAATGTAAAAATACCCCGTGATAATTACAGGGGTGAACTCGAATGTCGTGTCAGGGACAGGGTTGAACCAGGATTTAAGGTCTAGTGTGGAAAAGACCCAGGTCTGTGCTTACAGGGGTGAACACAAGTGTAGTGTAAAATGTAAAAATACCCTGAGATAATTACAGGGGTGAACTCGAATGTAGTGTAGAATGTAAAAATACCCCGAGATAATAACAGGGGAGAACTTGCGTGTAGTGTAGAATGTAAAAATACACCAAGATAATTACAGGGGTGAACTGGAGTGTCGTGTCGGGGACAGGTTTGAACCAGGATTTAAGGTCTAGTGTGGAAAAGAACCAGGTCTGTGCTTACAGGGGTGAACTCAAGTGAAGTGTAGAATGTAAAAATACCCCGAGATAATTACAGGGGTGAACTCGAGTGTAGTGTAGAATGTAAAAATACCCCAAGATAATAACGGGTGAACTCGTATGTAGTGTAGAATGTAAAAATACACCAAGATAATTACAGGGGTGAACTCGAGTGTCGTGTCGTGGACAGGGTTGAACCAGGATTTAAGGTCTAGTGTAGAAAAGACCCAGGTCTGTGCTTACAGGGGTGAACTTGCGTGTAGTGTAGAATGTAAAAATACCCCGAGATAATTACAGGGGTGAACTCGTGTGTAGTGCAGAATGTAGAAATAACCCGAGATAATTACAGGGGTGAACTCATGTGTAGTGTAGAATGTAAGTTCGGGGACAGGTTTGAACCAGGATTTAAGGTCTAGTGTGGAAAGGACCCAGTTCTGTGCTTAGTAATGCATATCTTTTCTTTTATATCTACAGTCTCAAAATGTGCGTGGGGCCATAGCGCTTTATAGAAATATCAAGTATTTCCTTGCATGCAGAACACTATAGATGTTAAGGGAGGGGTGGAGGTTCATGATTCAATGATGGATGGCATGTTTTGAACACAGAAGGTCCCGAGTTCAATCCTTGCCATCTCCAGTTAAAACACCTCAGGTATCAGGCATTAGTAAAGACATTTCTTTGTGTGTATGAGTTGCACAAGGGGGGGGGGGCTGCTGATGTCTTCCTATAGAGCAGTTTCATTATTTGCCATAGGAGCTGTAGCTCAGTGGTCAAGTGCCTGCTTTATATGCAGGAACCCCAGCACCAAAACCTGGCATTTCCAGCTAAATGGCCTCAGGTAGCGGGTTACGGGAAGTAACTTTCTCCCTGCCTGTGATATTGTAGAACCACTGCCAACCCTAGGATTAATTTGAATCATTCTTCTTGCCAAACTGGAATTGAGGAAGTGTGAAATGCTACACAGCTAGTAATTGTGGTGAATTCGGCAGTGGGGTCGGGAAAATCTGGCAATTCTAAGAACATAAGAAACAGCCCTGCTGGGTGAAGAGGTCCATCTTATCCAGCAACCTGTCTCATGCAGTGGCCACTTGGTTGTTCTGAAGTGCCAACAAGAGTGGCCAAGGTCTGATGCTGGACCCTACCACTGGTATTCAGAAGTTTCCTGCCTCTGAATATAGAAGATTCCCCTTAGTGAAGAGCCAGTTTGGTGTAGTGGTTAAGTGTGCGGACTCTAATCTGGGAGAACCGGGTTTGATTCTGCACTCCTCCGCTTGCACCTGCTGGATGACCTTGGGCAAGCCATAGTTCTGTCAGAGCTGTTCTCTCAAGGGCAGTTCTGTAAAAAGCTCTCTCAGCACCACCTACCTCATAAGGTGTCTGTTGCGGGGAGGGGAAGGGAGTTTGTAAGCCACTCTGAGATACCTTTGGGTAGTGAAGGGCGGGGTATAAATCCAATATCTTCTCTTCTTCCTCTCTTCTCTTAGTCACCGTGGCTAGTAGCCACTGATGGGCCTATTCTCCACAGGCCTCCCTAACCCTCTTTTATTTATTTATTTTTAATTAATTAATTTATTACATTACATTTATTAATCACTTAATCCCCATGATTGTGGGGCTCTAGGCGATGTAGACATTTTAAAATCATAAAAACATGAAGCCATAACCAGCATATTATGCAGCCAGTTTGATGCGGGGAGCCAGTTTGGTATAGTGGCTAGGATCACGGACTCTAATCTGGGAGGACCAAGTTTAATTCCCCACTCCTCCACATGCAGCTGCTGGCATGACCTTGGGTCAGTCACAAGTTCTCTCAGAGCTGTTCTCTCACGGACCATTCTCGAAAGAGCTCTCTCAGCCCCACCTACCCCACAGGGTGTCTATTGTGGGGAGGGGAAGGGAAAGTAGATTGCAAACCACTCTGAGACTCCTTCAGGTCGTTGAAGGATGGGGTAGCAGGAACTCCTTTGCATATTAGGTGACACACCCCTAATGTAGCCAATCCTCCAAGTGCTTGCAGAGCTCTTCTTACAGAGGACTGGCTACATTAGGGGTGTGTCGCCTAATATGCAAAGGAGTTCCTGCTACAAAAAGAGCCCTGTATAAATCCAATGTCCAATTAAAAACAGAGGATTATCGCTTGCTATTAGCAACAAGGTATAGATAGGAACTCTCAGTCTGGGGCAAGTGATGCTCTGTATTCTTGGTGCTTGGGGGGGGGTGACAGTAGGAGGGCTTCTGGTGTCCTGGCCCCCCTGCTGGACCTCCTGATGGCACCTGGTATTTTTGGCCACTGTTTGACCCAGAGTGTTGGACTGGATGGGCCATTGGCCTGATCCAGCAGTGGCTTCTCTTATGTTCTTATAAGTTGGGGAAATCTTTGCAGTTCCCTCCCACATCTGGTCTGTGAGTGCTTCGGAAGCCCGGAGGGTGCCAGCTGTGATGTAAACCGTCGCTCTTCTCAACCGAAAGGCTGGCGGAACGTCTCTGCCTTACAGCTCCTGCAGAACTGCATCAGATCCCGCAGAACCCCGATGTTGTTTAAACACTCTGCGCTCGTGGCCACCACTAACATCCACCAGCAACGAATCCTGCAACTTAAAGCATGGACCGAGCGGTTGCGGAGGTGGCCTCCGTCAATCAGGCAAGCACGGAGATGGAACCGAGAGAGAGCCAAAGACATTAGGAAAGGAAATGGTTTTAGAACTTTATTGTCATACCGATAGCACGGGTCAGGATCCCAAACACCAAAGAGAAAAGAAGTTCAACCCACAAGACGGACGTGCCTCCCATAATGAGAAGGATTTTCAAGGAAAGGGAAGGGTGGAGAAGGTTCAGTTTGAGGAAGGAGACAGGCACAAAGCTTTAGGCGTGCGTGGAAGGGGTCCAGGAAGTCCACCGGCAGGCTTTCAAACATGGGCTGAGGCTCATAAGTCAGGCCAGCAGCCGGGAGGCTGCATTTTACTTCTGGAGGTTCTTGATTGTTGCTTTCACTGGTAACAAGGGGCACCCGGGCAACAGCTGGGGATGCAACAAGGTGGGGGGCAGCAAGGGGGGAGCGTGCACTGGAAAAGGCAAGGAGAGGTGCAACACGGGAGACCGCTGGGCATGCAGGAACACACCTTGATGCCTCCACGTTGGGCGCAGCAGCAGGGGCAGCAGCCACATTTGCTACAGGGTGTCTGGTTACAGCAGCAGGGGTTGCAGCCGCACTTGCTGCAGCAGCCTGTTGGCTTGCAGCAGCAGGGGCTGCAGCCACACTTGCTGCAACAGCAGGACTGCGGCTTACAGCAGCAGGGCTTACAGCCACACTTGCTGCAACAGCAGGACTGCGGCTTACAGCAGCAGGGCTTACAGCCACACTTGCTGCAACAGCAGGACTGCGGCTTACAGCAGCAGGGGTTACAGCCGCACTTGCTGCAGCAGCTCGTTGGCTTGCAGCAGCAGGGGCTGCAGCCACACTTAGGACAGCAGGGCTGGGGGCAGCAGCAAGGGGAGCAGCCGCACTTTTTGCAACTGCGCTGCTGGGTACAGCAGCAGGGGTTACATCCACATATGCTGCAGCAGGATTTCTTCTGACAGCAACAGGGGCTACATCCGCACTTGCTGCAACAGCAGGACTGCGGCTTACAGCAGCAGGGGCTGCAGCCACACTTGCTGCAATACTTAGCCTTCCGGCTACAGCAGCAGGGGTTACAGCCACACTTGCTGCAACAGCAGGACTGCGGCTTACAGCAGCAGGGGTTACAGCCACACTTGCTGCAACAGCAGGACTGCGGCTTACAGCAGCAGGGGTTACAGCCACACTTGCTGCAACAGCAGGACTGCGGCTTACAGCAGCAGGGGTTACAGCCACACTTGCTGCAACAGCAGGACTGAGGCTTACAGCAGCAGGGGTTACAGCCACACTTGCTGCAACAGCAGGACTGTGGCTTACAGCAGCAGGGGTTACAGCCACACTTGCTGCAACAGCAGGACTGTGGCTTACAGCAGCAAGGATTACATCCACACTTGCTGCAACAGCAGGACTGTGG